ATCACATGGCAAGATATCAACATTGTAAAATTACAATGTAAGCTCTAGATATCTTTTCATTAATGCAAACATTTCACATGTATAGCAATTCTATCATTAATTTACCACATATTTTAAGATATCAATATCGTAAAATTACGATGCAAGCTTTTGATATCTTAACATAATGCAAATATGGCAATTATAGCAATTCTATCATCAATTTATCACATATTTCTCCCCTTTTATCATCAGCAAAAAGGAGAACGATTTAAGCAAATTTTAAGCATAAGTGTGGTAATGATTCATGTTATAAAAAGGTTCATGTCATTTTTCAACAATAAGTGATAGGATACCAATTATACAATTTTTTCAAGCAACCATGACATGGAGATAGCTTTCATTACTTCTTCCCTTTTATTTGTCATTAACGTTTTGCATGAAGGAGGAAAGCCATTGTGAACTTACTTGAATGAAGTTAAAATGATAAGAGATTAAATCATACTTCATTTTAAAAATCTTCCTTCATCAAGAAGGAATTCATAAGAAGGAATCATTTCATTAAATCCATTTCTCGAAAAATATTTTTTCACAAGGTAAACTATGAGAGATGCATTTGTTAATTGATTCCATATGTCAAAAATCAATTATATGAAACAAACTTGATATGACATAGGCTTATGAAAGCTGCATTAAGTCCGGAAGAGAAATACTAAATCATGTATGTTAGGATCAAGAAAGTCTGAAAGTGAAATTTACCACATTCATTCATTCGGACAAGGTTTTGCTATGGATTTTCAAACACAATCATGAAGGTAAAACATTCTTATCATCATAGAAGTTTTGCATCCAAAACACATAATTTCGAACATGTTATTAAGGCATGTAATCATCTAAAATTCTCATAATAACAATTAAGTAATTGATCATTGAATCAATAAAGTCCGAAAAATAAATTTAATAAGTTCATGCATTCAGACACATCAATATTCCTAATTCTCTTCTAATAAAATCAAATTGTTCTTCACTTAAAGGCTTTGTAAAAATATCAGCTAGTTGATGTTTAGTATCAATAAACTCTATAATTACGTCATGATTAGTGACATGATCTCATATAAAGTGATGTCTAATATCAATATGTTTTGTTCTTGGTGTTGAATGAGATTCTTTGTTAAACATATTGTACTTGTGTTATCACAGTTAATGAGAATATTTTTAAGATGAACTTTATAATCTTCTAAGGTATTTTTCATCTACACAACTTGTGCACAACATGCACTAGCTGCAATATACTTAGCTTCGGTTGTTGATAGTGCAACCAAGTTTTGTTTCTTAGATGACTAGGAAACAAGGGCATGTCCCAAGAATTGACATGTTCTTAATGTGCTTTTTCTAGCTAGTCTACACCCAGCAAAATCCACATCAGCATAAACAATTAACTCAAAATTCTTGATTTTTGGATACCATAATCCTAGATTTGTGGTACCTTTAAGATATCTAAGTATTCTTTTAACTACTTTGAGATGAGATATCTTAGGGTTCGATTGAAACCTAGTACAAAGTCCTACACTGAATATGATATCTGGTCTAGTTGCAGTGAGAGAAAGCAAACTTCCTATCATACCCCTATAAGTTTTTTGATCAAAGTTTTCTCCACTTTCATTAATTTCTAACTTAGTAGAGGTGCTCATAGGAGTGTTGATAGTTTTTGAGCTATCCATATTAAATCTTTTTTAGCAAATATAAAGCATATTTAGTTTGACTAATAAAGATATCATTGCTTAGTTGTTTAATTAGTAAGACTAAGAAAAAGATTAATTCTACCAGCAAACTCATTTCAAATTCAAGGCTCATAGTTTTAATAAAAGATTCACAAAGAGATTCGTTAGTAGAACTAAAAATAATATCATCAACATAAATATGAACAATGAGAAAATTATTTTCAAAATTTTTGATAAACAATGTAGTATCGACCTTGCCTTTTGAGAAATTATTTTCAATAAGAAAAGAACTAAGTTCCTCATACCAAGCCCTTAGGGCTTGAGAGCTTTAGTTAATTTAAACACATGATTATGGAGGCTATTATTTTTAAATCTAGGAGGTTATTTAATATAAACTTCTTTAGAAACAAAGCCATTAAGAAAAGTGCTTTTAACATCCATTTGAAACAACTTAAAATTATTATTACTAGCATAGGCAAGGAGCATCCTTATGGCTTCTAATCGAGCCACAAGAACGAAGGTTTCTTTGTAATCAATACTTTCTTCTTGGTTGAAACCTTTGGCCACTAATCTAGCCTTGCTTCTAACCATGATACTATATTCATCTTGTTTGTTTCTAAAGACCTTTTTAGTACTAATAACTAAATGGTCATTTGGCCTAGGAACAAGCTTCCACACCTCATTTCTCTCAAATTAATCTAACTCATCTTGCATTGGGATAATCCATGAATCATCTTTCATGACTTCGTCAATACATTTAGGTTCAATTTGGGAGAGAAAAGCAGCGTTGGCACAAAACTTTTTAAGAAAAGAACGTGTTTGAACCCCCTTAGATGTGTCTCCTAAGAT